AATAGACCTACCAGCCAATAGACCTACCTGCCAATAGACCTACCAGCCAATAGACTTACCAGCCAATAGACCTACCTGTCAATGGACCTACCAGCCAATAGACCTACCAGCCAATAGACCTACCAGCCAATAGACCTACCTGCCAATAGACCTACCAGCCAATAGACCTACCTGCCAATAGACCTACCAGCCAATAGACCTACCAGCCAATAGACCTACCAGCCAATAGACCTACCAGCCAATAGACCTACCAGCCAATAGACCTACCAGCCAATAGACCTACCAGCCAATAGACCTACCTGCCAATAGACCTACCTGCCAATAGACCTACCTGCCAATAGACCTACCTGTCAATGGACCTACCAGCCAATAGACCTACCAGCCAATAGACCTACCAGCCAATAGACCTACCAGCCAATAGACCTACCAGCCAATAGACCTACCAGCCAATAGACCTACCAGCCAATAGACCTACCAGCCAATAGACCTACCTGCCAATAGACCTACCTGCCAATAGACCTACCAGCCAATAGACCTACCAGCCAATAGACCTACCTGCCAATAGACCTACCAGCCAATAGTCCTACTAGCCAATAGACCTACCAGCCAATAGACCTACCAGCCAATAGACCTACCAGCCAATAGACCTACCTGCCAATAGACCTACCTGCCAATAGACCTACCTGCCAATAGACCTACCTGTCAATGGACCTACCAGCCAATAGACCTACCAGCCAATAGACCTACCAGCCAATAGACCTACCTGCCAATAGACCTACCAGCCAATAGACCTACCTGCCAATAGACCTACCAGCCAATAGACCTACCAGCCAATAGACCTACCAGCCAATAGACCTACCAGCCAATAGACCTACCAGCCAATAGACCTACCTGCCAATAGACCTACCTGCCAATAGACCTACCTGCCAATAGACCTACCAGCCAATAGACCTACCAGCCAATAGACCTACCTGCCAATAGACCTACCAGCCAATAGACCTACCAGCCAATAGACCTACCTGCCAATAGACCTACCAGCCAATAGACCTACCAGCCAATAGACCTACCAGCCAATAGACCTACCTGCCAATAGACCGATCTGCCAATAGACCTACCAGCCAATAGACCTACCTGCCAATAGACCTACCTGCCAATAGACCTACCAGCCAATAGACCTACCAGCCAATAGACCTACCTGCCAATAGACCTACCAGCCAATAGACCTACCAGCCAATAGACCTACCTGCCAATAGACCTACCAGCCAATAGACCTACCAGCCAATAGACCTACCAGCCAATAGACCTACCAGCCAATAGACCTACCAGCCAATAGACCTACCTGCCAATAGACCTACCAGCCAATAGACCTACCAGCCAATAGACCTACCAGCCAATAGACCTACCAGCCAATAGACCTACCAGCCAATAGACCTACCAGCCAATAGACCTACCAGCCAATAGACCTACCAGCCAATAGACCTACCAGCCAATAGACCTACCTGCCAATAGACCTACCAGCCAATAGACCTACCTGCCAATAGACCTACCAGCCAATAGACCTACCTGCCAATAGACCTACCTGCCAATAGACCTACCAGCCAATAGACCTACCAGCCAATAGACCTACCAGCCAACAGACCTACCAGCCAATAGACGTACCAGCCAAAAGACCTACCAGCCAATATACCGATCTGCCAATAGACCTACCAGCCAATAGACCTACCAGCCAATAGACCTACCTGCCAATAGACCTACCAGCCAATAGACCTACCAGCCAATAGACCTACCTGCCAATAGACCTACCAGCCAATAGACCTACCTGCCAATAGACCTACCTGCCAATAGACCTACCAGCCAATAGACCTACCAGCCAATAGACCTACCTGCCAATAGACCTACCAGCCAATAGACCTACCAGCCAATAGACCTACCAGCCAATAGACCTACCAGCCAATAGACCTACCTGCCAATAGACCTACCTGCCAATAGACCTACCTGCCAATAGACCTACCAGCCAATAGACCTACCAGCCAATAGACCTACCTGCCAATAGACCTACCTGCCAATAGACCTACCAGCCAATAGACCTACCAGCCAATAGACCTACCAGCCAATAGACCTACCAGCCAATAGACCTACCTGCCAATAGACCTACCAGCCAATAGACCTACCAGCCAATAGACCTACCAGCCAATAGACCTACCAGCCAATAGACCTACCAGCCAATAGACCTACCAGCCAATAGACCTACCAGCCAATAGACCTACCAGCCAATAGACCTACCAGCCAATAGACCTACCTGCCAATAGACCTACCAGCCAATAGACCTACCTGCCAATAGACCTACCAGCCAATAGACCTACCTGCCAATAGACCTACCTGCCAATAGACCTACCAGCCAATAGACCTACCAGCCAATAGACCTACCAGCCAATAGACCTACCAGCCAATAGACCTACCAGCCAATAGACCTACCAGCCAATAGACCTACCAGCCAATAGACCTACCAGCCAATAGACCTACCAGCCAATAGACCTACCAGCCAATAGACCTACCTGCCAATAGACCTACCAGCCAATAGACCTACCTGCCAATAGACCTACCAGCCAATAGACCTACCTGCCAATAGACCTACCTGCCAATAGACCTACCAGCCAATAGACCTACCAGCCAATAGACCTACCTGCCAATAGACCTACCAGCCAATAGACCTACCAGCCAATAGACCTACCTGCCAATAGACCTACCAGCCAATAGACCTACCAGCCAATAGACCTACCAGCCAATAGACCTACCAGCCAATAGACCTACCTGCCAATAGACCTACCAGCGAATAGATCTACCTGCCAATAGACCTACCAGCCAATAGACCTACCAGCCAATAGACCTACCAGCCAATAGACCTACCAGCCAATAGACCTACCTGCCAATAGACCTACCTGCCAATAGACCTACCTGCCAATAGACCTACCTGCCAACCTGCCAATAGACCTACCAGCCAATAGACCTACCAGCCAATAGACCTACCAGCCAATAGACCTACCAGCCAATAGACCTACCTGCCAATAGACCTACCAGCCAATAGACCTACCAGCCAATAGACCTACCAGCCAATAGACCTACCAGCCAATAGACCTACCAGCCAATAGACCTACCTGCCAATAGACCTACCAGCCAATAGACCTACCTGCCAATAGACCTACCAGCCAATAGACCTACCAGCCAATAGACCTACCAGCCAATAGACCTACCAGCCAATAGACCTACCAGCCAATAGACCTACCTGCCAATAGACCTACCTGCCAATAGACCTACCTGCCAATAGACCTACCTGCCAACCTGCCAATAGACCTACCAGCCAATAGACCTACCAGCCAATAGACCTACCAGCCAATAGACCTACCTGCCAATAGACCTGCGTGCCAATAGACCTACCTGCCAATAGACCTACCTGCCAATAGACCTGCCAACGCCCAAGCCCAACGCCCAAGCCCAACGGCCAAGCTCAACTGCTAGTTCTAGCCCTAACGTAGTGCGTAGTGCGCGCCTGGTCCAATATTCTAGCTCAAGCCCAACGCCCAAGCTCAACTTCGTATTTTGTACTTTCAATATTCTAGCGTAGTGCGCGCCTGGTCCAACTGCGCACTTGGTCCAACTACGCGCCTGGTCAAGGTGAGAGAAGGGAGGGAAGGGGGGAACAGCGAGTTGGGGCGGTGGTAACCCGCAGAAGGTGCTGGTCGTGCTCCCCACCAGCAGTGATGCTCTCAAGGTGATAGGGAGACGGATAGACAGTGGGAGGCCGAAACAGCCCAGAACCATATCCCTCTCAAGGTGCAAGGCTTGCCAGAGGCTCAGGGAAGGGCAGGGGTAGCAGCAGCACAGGGACCACTATGAGCAGTCTGGATAGACCTCTAGAGGCGCTGGGCTGGGCTTACTGGAGGCTGTGCTGCTTGTAAGGTCTTGTAAACCCCACCAAATGCTTTTCTCCCGTTCATCCCCTCCTCCCTCCGTGCCTTTCTGTTTGGGCCCTGAACTCTTACAACCCACATCAGCTGGTGGGCGCAATTCACCTGCAGCAGGGCCGGTAAGACCAAGCCTTGGCGTGGCTTGCTTCTCCTCCACCCATGTCAGCTTTTGCTCCTCCTCTGTACATCCTCTCTTCCCCCCCCCACTCCCCACATCAGCTGGTGGGCGCGATTCACCTGCAGCAGGGCCGGCAGGACCAAGCCCTGGCGTGCTTCCGCAAGATCACCCAACACTGCCCCTCTGACATGGACGTGAGTGGATGCGACCATGTGTGACCAAGTGTGACCAAGTGTGACCATGTGTGACCATGTGACCATGGGGCAGCATGTGGGCATGTGGCATGGGTGTTGTGGTGGAGGACACGCAAACCCTAAAGCCCTGGCGTGCTTCCGCAAGATCACCCAGCGCTGCCCTTCTGACATGGACGTGAGTGGATGTGACCATGTGACCATAGGTGCAACAGCATGTTGGGACGTGTGTGGCGGAGTGTACACATGGCATGGTGTGCGTATGTGGGAGTGAGGTGAATGCTGGTTCCAATTGCAGAGGCATCGCTCCCCTGCTGCATCCTCTGCGTGGCTCACATGTGTGTCTTCCTTCCTTCGTCTCCATGCTTCCTACGTCCTGCTTCCCCGCGACTCTGTGTGACACCAGGCATGGTTGGAGGTGGGAGAGCTGCTTGTATCCTCCGACCTCCCTGCTGCGCTCGAGTCTCTCAAAAAGGTGCGCTCACACCCCAAATTCAGGTGCGCTCTCAAAAAGGTGCGCTCACCGTCCCCTCCCCAGGTTTCCGGTGCTTGGCTGCTCTGCGAGGGTTGCTGTGAAGGGCCCACATACTCGCGCTGATACACGCTCCTCTGCCCCACTCGCCCCCATGTCACTGCCATCGCCCCGCCTTCACTCACGTGTTGCTGTGTACCCCTCGAATTCGTCCTCCTTTTGCGAGCTCTACTGGAGTGCATGCATATGAGCGCATGTGCGAGGTATTGGGCAAAGTGGGTGTGCCGTGGCTGGCACTTGCATCCCCTCTCCATCCCCATTCCACCCGCAATGCCCTACCGCACCTCACTTATTCTCCTCTCCTCCTCCCACCCCTCCTCTCTTCCCCTGGCGTGCAGGCATACGAGCTCATGGTGAGGGCAGTGGGCAAGGAGGGCGTGCCGTGGCATTCGCTTCCCCTCTCCTTCGCATGTCACCCGCCTCCCCTCACCTGTTGTCTACTCCCCACCCCCACCGCTTTTTGCCCTGGAGTGCAGGCATACGAGCGCATGGTGAAGGCGGTGGGCAAGGAGGGCGTGCCGTGGCAGCTGGTGAACAACATTGCTGCACTGCAGCATGAGAGGGGCGCGTATGAGGTGAGACGAGAGCAGCACCTCTGTTTGTGAGGGCCACTGATAGTGCAAGCACCACCATCACATGTGCTTGCTTTCCATTCCTGTGCGTTCTTAAGCCAGTAATTTTGTTTCTCCCGCATCTTTCCCTCCATCCCTCGTGCCACTGTCCATCTACACCTCCCTCTATCTCTTCTGCTGCAACCCTCCCACCGCAGGAGGCAGTGCAAGCGTACAAGGAGGCATTGGGCCCACACGGGCCGTGGGCGCCCATCCTGCAGCTTGAGGGAGCTGCGGGCATGGGCGAGGGGAAAGGGGCAGAAGCAGCACTGCCAGTGGAGAAGGTGACAGTGGGGTTCAACCTCGCTCTCTCCCTCGAGCGCACTCTCTTGAGCGCACCTCTGCTCTCCTTTCCACCCCCCACAACAGGAGGCAGTGACGGCCTACAAGGAGGCGCTGGGGCCACACGGGCCATGGGCGCCCATCCTGCACCCTGAAGCGTCTAATGGTGGAGACGAGGGGAAAGGCGCAGAAACGGCACTACCAGTGGAGAAGGTGACAGTGGTGTTCAACCTCGCTCTCTCGCTCGAGCGCACCTGCTGCCTCACCTAAGCCGCTGCCCTGCACCGCCTCATCCTCTCCCAGGTGGGCCACACGAGGCACCTCTCTCCCAGGTGTGCAGCAGGTGGGGTGGGAGGGAGGTAGGGGGGCAGCGGGTGATGGGGAGGGAGGGAGGGAGAGCAGCAGAGGCGGCACTGCCAGTGGAGAAGGTGACAGTGGTGTTCAACCTCGCCCTCTCCCTCGAGCGCACCTGCCAACTCACGCAGGCCGCTGCCCTGCACCGCCTCATCCTCTCCCAGGTGTGCCCCATTATCGGTTTGTGTTCAAATAAGATGTGCCTTCGTACTCGCAGCTGCCCCACCTTTGTTTCAGCCTGGGTGCGTCTCCTGTCGTATCACCAGCTGCCTGTTGCGTTTTATCACCACAACCCACCCCACCCCACCCCACCCCACCCCACCCCACCCCAACCCACCCTTACCCACTCCTCAGTACCCATCCTACCTGGACTGCCATCTGCGCCTGGCAGTGATGGCACTGGACCGCCGAGACAACGCCACTGCCATGACGCATGTGAGCGGGGAGAGGGAGAAGGGGTGGGGGGTGATTGGCAGATGGGAAACAACTGGAAAGCGTCAGTGGGAGAGGGGGGGATTGATTGGCAGGTAAGGAGCGGGCGGGAGTTGATGAGTTGAGGCCCTTGTAATTGCAGGTGAAAGTTGTGGTATTGTATCACACAATGCTACCACCATTGGATGCTCTCTTGCTGCATCGACACTTGCCTCAACCCATTCCCCTCTTCCCGCACTTGTTTCCTGCTTGCTCCACCCATGGTGCACATGTCAGCAGCGCTGCAGAAAGCAGTGTGGGCGCGTTGCTGCTCATCATGACATACCTCAGCCCATTTCCCGCCCCTCCCCCTTAACCATGTATACTTGTGCCTCTCCATCTGCAGATATCAGCCGTGCTACAGCGCGCACCGGACAGTGTGGACGCACTGTTGCTGCGCAGCCGGGCGGAAGCAGACAGGGACGACCATGCGGCAGCCAAGGACACACTAAAGCGCATCGTGGACCTCTCGCCTGAGAAGTGCACCGCCGCCCTCGTTGCCCTGGTAAGCGCTCTGCTCCCTTGGTGGCGCATCTCAGAACTCAGGCCGCCAGAGGCTTAGTGCGGAGGGACGACCATGCAGCTGCTAAGGACACGCTCAAGCGCATCGTGGACCTCTCGCCTGAGAAGTGCACCGCCGCCCTCGTTGCCCTGGTAGGCTATCCCGGTCAAGAGGCGTTTGAGTGGAGTCGAGTGCAGTGCCGAGCGCGCTCATTGTTTGGTCGGTCCTTGTCAGGACTCGCTGCAGAGCACGCACGCGCAAATGAATGCACTAACCCCAACGGCTATGCCTCAACCCACCCCGTATGGCAGGGCAACTGGAACTTGAGCATGAGTGCTCGACCCACGCGGCTATGACACCAAGGCAGAGGCGTCCTTCCTTGAGAAGGCCCGGGAGATGTTCCACAAGGTGGGGGCGAGGGATGAATTGGTGGCACGTTGCGATGATTTCCCAAGATGGGGGTGAGATGCTTTCATGCTGTCCTTAATGTGTTCATTCCTTCAGGTTCCCCATCAGGTTCCCCATCAGGTTCGCCATCAGGTTCGACGAACCGCGGAACCGCGGAACCGCGGAACCGCCGAACCGCGGAACCGCGGAACCGCGGAACCGCCGAACCGCGGAACCGCGGAACCGCGGAACCGCCGAACCGCGGAACCGCGGAACCGCCGAACCGCGGAACCGCCGAACCGCGGAACCGCGGAACCGCGGAACCGCGGAACCGCGGAACCGCCGAACCGCGGAACCGCGGAACCGCGGAACCGCGGAACGGCGGAACGGCGGAACGGCGGAACGGCGGAACCGCGGAGCCGCGGAGCCGCGGAGCCGCGGAGCCGCGGAGCCGCGGAGCCGCGGAACCTCCGAACCGCGGAACCGCCGAACCGCGGAACCGCGGAACCGCGGAACCGCGGAACCGCGGAACCGCCGAACCGCGGAACCGCCGAACCGCGGAACCGCGGAACCGCGGAACCGCGGAACCGCGGAACCGCGGAACCGCGGAACCGCGGAACCGCCGAACCGCGGAACCGCGGAACGGCGGAACGGCGGAACCGCCCAACCGCCCAACCGCCCAACCGCCCAACCGCCGCGGAACCGCGGAACCGCGGAACCGCGGAACCGCGGAACCGCGGAACCGCGGAACCGCGGAACCGCGGAACCGCGGAACCGCGGAACCGCGGAACCGCGGAACCGCGGAACCGCCCAACCGCCCAACCGCCCAACCGCCCAACCGCCGAACCGCGGAACCGCGGAACCGCGGAACCGCCATCAGGTTCGCCATCAGGTTCGCCATCAGGTTCGCCATCAGGTTCGCCATCAGGTTCGCCATCAGGTTCGCCATCAGGTTCCCCATCAGGTTCCCCATCAGGTTCCCCATCAGGTTCCCCATCAGGTTCCCCATCAGGTTCCCCATCAGGTTCCCCATCAGGTTCCCCATCAGGTTCCCCATCAGGTTCCCCATCAGGTTCGCCATCAGGTTCGCCATCAGGTTCGCCATCAGGTTCGCCATCAGGTTCCCCATCACTAGGAGTGGGGCCTAGGCTTAGTAGCCTAGGCCACACCGAGAGGTAGGAGGTTGTGCCCTAGAGCTAGGTTTAGGGTATGCAAAGGAGAATTGGAGAAGGAATTGAATGGAGAATGATTGAACTAGCAAGCAGGTTGGTACAAATAGGAAACCCTAAAGGGGTTGTACTCACTATTGAGCACCCCACTGCAGGCTAGACAAATAACATATTCTGACACACCCCCATAGCCAAAGTGGGGTGTAATCAGCACAATGAGCAGTCATAGCAATAGTTCACAAATATGAGCAAAGCTAGTGGTAGTCACAACGGGCAAGTGAGGAGGAGGAGGGCTGGCGAGAGGAGAGAAGATGGGAGGCGACGACTGAAGCTGCAAACACACGGGCAACAGGAGCGGCTGACACAATGGCGGCTGACACAGTGGCTACCGAGACAGTGCACCCTGGAATGCAGGAGTAACAGGCTCTGCGGCTGCGACGAGCGGCAGAAGCAACGGACCCACGGGCGACTGGTGCAGCAGGCTCTCAGTGGCTACCGAGACAGTGCGTCCCGGAATACAGGAGTAACAGGCTCTGCGGCTGCGACGAGCGGCAGGAGCAACGGACCCACGGGCAACAGGTGCAGCAGGCTCTCTGAGCTACCGGCGACAAGGGCCCCGGAATACAGGCGCTGCGGACGACAAGACGGCAGCCTCCGTTCAACCTCCCCTAACTGTCCCACACCCCCTTCTCACACACCCCCTTGCTAGCGCCACTCCCCAACCTCACCCACTCCATCCCCCCCTCAGCGGCAGCTGCAGTAGTGGGGCAGAGAGGAGGAGGAGGGGCAGCTGGTCACGCATTCCCACCACCCCCATACCCCCCCTTACCCCGGCCACCCCCATACCCTCCACACGGCTGCACGCGCAGCAGGAAATCGAAGGAGGAGGAGGGAAAGCGGGTGGTGTCGCTAAGTGCAGGGTGCGGGCGGGCAGTGGGGCGCCCGCAACGGGCAGGGCGCGGGCAGTAGGTGGGTCCAGGGGGGGCGGCGCGCGGGTCCCCAGGGGCGGCGCGCTGGTCCAGCAGGGGCGGCGCGCGGGTCCCGCGGGGCAGCGCGCGAGCCCCGCAAGGCGTCGCGCAGGTCCAGCGGGGGCGACGCGCGGGTCCCGCAGGGCGTCGCGCGGGTCCAGCGGGGCAGCACGCGAGCCCCGCAGGGCGTCGCGCGGGTCCAGCGGGGGCGACGTGCGGGTCCCGCAGGGCAGCGCGCGGGTCATGCGGGGGAGGCGCGCGGGTCCCAGGGGCGGGGCGTCGAGCAGAAAACCGCCGCGCGCTCGGGAAGAAAAAAAAACGCCGCGCGCGCTCCGAGCGCGCGGCAAGCAGAAGACGCAGCGGAAGCATGGGCCCACAGGCCAGGATCTAACAGGCTCTGCGGCTGCGACGAGCGGCAGGAGCAACGGACCCACGGGCAACAGGTGCAGCAGGCTCTCTGAGCTACCGGCGACAAGGGCCCCGGAATACAGGCGCTGCGGACGACACGACGGCGGCCTCCGCTCAACCTCCTCCAACTGTCCCACACCCCCAGTTTCACCCCTAGCTCCACTCCCATATCACCCCCCCTAGCGCCAGTCCCCTCGGCTCCCACACATCCACCCCCCTCAGCGACAGCTGCAGCAGTGGGAGACGAAGGAGGAGGAGGAAGGGACGACGCACACGATGCACCCCCACACCCGTCACCCCCACACTCCTGTCCTGGGGACGGGGGGGGGGGGGGGGGGCAGGGGCGGCCGAACAGAACAGAGCGCACGAGGGGGCGGCCGAACAGAACAGAGCACACGAGGGCGCGGGCAGAGCAGAGCGCACGAGGGCGCGGGCAGCAGCAGGGCGCACGATGCCCGAGGCCCGAGGCCCGAGGCCCAGGGGCCAGGGGCGGCTGCTCCAGGGGCCAGGGGCGGCTGCTCCAGGGGCGGCGTCGCGGGTCCAGGGGCGGCTGCACCAGGGGCGGCTGCTCCAGGGGCGGTGTCGCTGGCGCAGGGGCGGCTCATGCGCTGCTGCAGGGGCAGCTTGCGCTCTGCTGCAGTGGTGGCTGCTCCAGGGGCGGCGTCGCGGGTCCAGGGGCGGCTGCTCCAGGGGCGGCTGTGTTAGAATCGTAGGTGTGGGGCCTAGGCTTAGTAGCCTAGGCCCACACTAGGAGGTAGGTGGGTGTGCTCTAGAACTAGGAGTTAGGGTTTACGAAGGAGAATTGGAACGAAGAATGAATGGTGACTAGCAAGCAGCAGAACACACAAATAGCAAACCCTAAGGGGTTGTACTCACTATTGAGCACCCCACTGCAGGCTAGACAAATAACATTCTGACACACCCCCATAGCCAAAGTGGGGTGTAATCAGCAGAGCACACAAAGCAGTACAAGCTCAGGGTGGATCACGACGTCACCACACATTCTGAGCACAAGTTCAAGAACCAATAGTTTATAAATTGTAAGCAGAGCTAGAGGCAGTCACAAAGGGCAAGTGAGGAGGAGGAGGGCTGGCGAGATGAGAGAAGAGTGGAGGCGACGACTGAAGCTGCAGACACACGGGCAACAGACGGCTCTGGTGCAACGCTAGTGGCTACCGGGAGGAGAAAGGCCCCGGAATACAGGAGTAACAGGCTCGGCGGCTGAACAGCAGCGGCAGGAGCAACGGACCCACGGGCGACAGGTGCAACCGGCTCTCTGAGCTACCGGGATTGAGCGCCCCGGAGTACAGGCGCTGTAGACGACACGACGGCGGTCTCCGCTCAACCTCCCCCAACAGTCCCACACCCTTCGACACACACCCCTTGGTCCACCCTTAGCTCCACTCCCACATTACCCCCCTAGCGCCAGTCCCCTCGGCTCCCACACATCCACCCCCCTCAGCGGCAGCTGCAGCAGTGGGAGACGAAGGAGGAGGAAGGGACGACGCACACGGAGCACCCCCATACCCGTCACCCCCACACTCTCCTGTCCAGGGGACGGGGGGGGGGGGGGGGGGGGGCAGGGGCGGCGGAACCGAACAGGGCGCACGAGAGCTCGGGCAGAGTAGAGCGCACGAGGGCGCGGGCTGCAGCAGGGCGCACGAGGCACAAGGCACGAGGCGTAGGTAGGTAAAGCGCACAAGGCACGAGGCACGAGGCACGAGGCACGAAGCACAAGGCACAAGGCACAAGGCACAGGGCGTAGGTAGGTAGAGCGCACGAGGGCGCGGGCTGCAGCAGGGCGCACGAGGGCGCGGGCAGCAGCAGGGCGCACGAGGCACAAGGCACGAGGCACGAGGCACGAAGCACAAGGCACAAGGCACAAGGCACAGGGCGTAGGTAGGTAAAGCGCACAAGGCACGAGGCACGAGGCACGAGGCACGAAGCACAAGGCACAAGGCACAAGGCACAGGGCGTAGGTAGGTAAAGCGCACAAGGCACGAGGCACGAGGCACGAGGCACGAAGCACAAGGCACAAGGCACAAGGCACAGGGCGTAGATAGGTAAAGCGCACAAGGCGCGGGCTGCAGCAGGGCGCACGAAGGCGCGGGGCAGCAGCAGGGCGCAC